AAATGATAGTAATAAAAATAAAACAACAAGCCAGCCTGGGAAGCCAAAGAAAGCTTTCACACGAGCGCCCCTCCTTGCCCTAAAACACGAGGATGGATCCGGAGCATATGCAGAGTGCGCTCTCAAGAACCTGTAGGGAGCTCCTCTCTCTAAAGCCAGACCCGTCCCTCCCCCTCTCTTCCTCATCTCTAATCACACACCCAGTGTGGAAATTTCTGAGGGTGTCTTAAAGGGGGGGGGCTCCTTCCACACCCTGTGGGCAATCTTAGCCCCTGTTTTGCAGACAAGGGCATTACGGGTGGGGGGGTCAACGTAAGACACCAAGCCAGGTGGAGAGAGCCGTCAGAGTACCCTCCTCCTGGGGGGGGGGGGACGGGGGACACGCACATCTCCACCTAAGCCGCTGGCCCCACAGCAGAGACATTAATGCTTTAATGATCTCGTAGGCGGCCGCCAGAGAGACAAAGGGCACTTTACAGAAGTCTCTCGGTCAGCTGAGCCGAAGGAGCCAGCGGGCCTTTCTGGGGGTGGGTGGGGGTAGGAGAAGCTGCCCCCAGAAGCTAAGATTTGGGGAAGGAGGCCAGGGAGAAAGGGGAGCTGGGGCAAGGAGAGATGCCTCCGTCTCCCCCAGCTTTTAGGGACTCCCCTTTGGAAACTCCTGGATCAGGCGCTCTTTCGGGCCTGATCCAGGACAGGGCAAAGTCGGCGCATCCTGCTCTGCACAGACCCAGAGGCGCTGCTGAGCCTCTCGGCTGTCTTCCTGCCCCACAGAACACCGTGAACTTTTCCCACTGTAAGATCAGTGGGGACGGAGACCTCGCTTTTTCAGCTTGTGGGAAACACCCTTCCTTCCTGGGTGCACAACCATTCACCAGGTGTTCACAATCTGGTTCCCCCACACCTCATGTTTCGTTCCCCCCCCCCTTCCAAGGCAGGTCTTTCTGGCCAACAAGCCAGCAGCCTCTGGTTCCTGAGGTGGATTAAAAAGTCACTTCCAATTTGAGCCAGGGGTTGGGCTCCACTGCCCTGATTTTAAGAGAGAGAAAGGAAATGAAGCCACAGCAGATGCATTTTGGAAGGTTTCAGGCAAACTGGTTATAATCATCATTATTATCCTCAATATTTTGCAACCTTGATAAATAAGGAGAAGCCCAGGCCAGGCATTTACTTGCTTTCGGCTTGTCTAATAAAAGTTCTGAGCTGAAAATGTTCTGAGCAGCTCAATCTTACTTAAAAGATCTCTCTTCTGTTCTGCCTGCAAACAGGCAACGGTTGGGGCTGTGATCCACCCGCCACCCTTCCAGAGACATTCTGATGTGGGCTAACCAGTGCGCGCACCCACACCACGGTGGTAAACACAGAAAAGTTTCCCCGTCCCCCCCAAAAAGGGGAAAAATAAGAGGAAAACCTCTGAAAGAAGTTTTCTGCTTCGAAAACGGCCACCACGGCGGACCGGTCTAAGCTTTCGGATCCAAAGCCAGCGCGCGCTGACGCCGGCACGCTCCCCACGGGCCACGTCCACACCCCGCCACTACTTTCCTACCGCCGACAAAAATAGAAAAGGAAGTTGCAGCACAGACCACAGGAGGTTCGATTCTGAGGAGGGTGCAGCCTCTCCTTCTAATCCCCCCCCCGGAGCACCATGTGCACCTCCCGGTGGCGCTGGACTCCGTTACCCATCAGCCCCCACCAACCTGAAGAAGGGAGTGATTGTGACACAACCACAGTTCCCCTTCCAGAGGAGGCTTACCCGAAGTCTAACCCACCACAGGCAGCTTCTTGGCCCTGGAGGGGGAGAATGGGAGTTGGAGTCCAATGACGTCCGGAGGGCTGTCGCTGTCTGACTCTCAAGGAAGACGGGGAAGGAGCAAGAGAAAGCGGTGCAGTGGGGAAGAGGGGGAGCGTTAGCAGCCCCCACCCCACCCTGAGCCTCAGCGAAACACACACCCCATGACCCTGGGTTCAAAGCAGCTCTTGCTAAGAGGCATCCCCACCCTCGCTGCTGTTTGCAAGACCCAGAAACACCCCCCACAAGACTGCTCCTGCACAGTTGAGAGGGGCCCCAAAATAGGTTCCCCCACCCCAAAGAGAGAAGCGTGAAAGATGAGCCTGAAGGGCATCCGCTCGGCTTGGGATATGGATTTCATCAGCAATTATTTTAAGAATCCCTTAAAAAGACTCAGGCAGCCCCTGAGGGAGGCAGAGGGAGCTGGGGGGTTAGAAAGGGGAAGAGGTAGCCCCCCCTGCCAAGACAGCACACCCCCAAGCCATGTTGGAGGGAGGGGGCAGCCCTGTTTCTCACTCCCCCCCACCTGAAAAAGGTTCAGGGAGACAACTGGAAGGCCACCCTTGAAAAGAAGGGACCCCCCCCCCCCCCCCTTGTGCAGAGAGACTCCAGAAGGGCTGGTGGTGCCTCTGTGT